CAGGCAACATATTATCCAGATTAATAGTACATGGCATCAATGAAAGACTGGTGTTATTCTACACAGAAATTCTACAGTCAAAGAAGTAAATAAGGTAAATGCATATATAAACAGTACAGGATCACTCTGCATTGAAACTGTGTGCCAAACTGGAAGAAATATTCTGCCACCGTAAATGAGGATAAGAAAGTAACTTCAATATGCAAAGTAGTATTCAAGGCCTAAAGACAAGCAGTAATAATAATGGGAAGCCTTTGTTTATCCTCATGTATGTTTAGGAAAGGGTAGAAGAAAGAAATGAACTTTCTACTCATGCATGAATCCTTGCTGAATTATGCAGTCAGAGAACACCTAAGTGAAGAAGTAGATTATGGTTTAGTACTGAACAAGATCTAAATATAAATATCAAAAAGCTATTCCATAACAGTAAGAAAAATGATCTTAAATTCAGATTTTAGTTTACAAGTAAAAGGCCAAATCCATCTACTACGCTGAATTTAAATGAAAAAAAAATTAATTACGTAAAATCATAAGGCTTTTGAAAAGAATTTTAGAGGAAAGGCCAAATGACAGAAACTGGGAAGGAGGTGTATGGAGTAACTTTAAATATCCTGTTTTAGAAGGACAGTGCACATCTACCAACTACAGAAAAATTCCAAAAAAGTCAAGAAGTCCAGCAGTGTCAACTGGACTGCAAAGAAGACTTATAAAAGTAAACGGATATGTTCCAGAAAGGGAATCCATATGCTAAGCAAAGAATAGAGAAAAAAAAGTATAAGTACTAGTAATTTTTTGGTATAAAAATAATGGCAGATCATGAAAGATATAGAGAAACTACTTTCTAAAGAAATTGAGAAACTACTTTCTAAAGAAATAAAATCTAAAAAGAAAGCTTTTAAGAACATAAAGAAAGCAGCAAGTCTAAAAGAGCAACATACTATTAATCAAGTGTGTTCTGTAAAATAAAACCAAAGCAAGAAAGAAAAATAAATAGTGTTGACCACAGATGAGGTCAAAGGAGACCTTAAACAATGCCAAAGACTGATCTTCTACAAAATGTTATGAGAAAAGCTTTTGGAAGATACTTGACACAAATTCAACTTGTCCCTCTCCAACACCTGATAACACACTCTCAAGACTTCTAAAGGATCTCAGCTACAACAAGGCTGACATACAGCAGTGGTAAATAATTTGTCACCTAAATAAACTTTGGAGTGAGAGAAAGGAAAGTGGTAAATGTGACTAATGTTACAAAAGGGATTCAGGATAGAGCATTCAGGAAATGAGAAACTAATCAGTCTGACTTCACATTTAGGCAATTTGATAGAAATGTATTAATACTACAATTAGTAAATATGTGGAAAATATTATGTGAAAAGTTAATGCAGTTGCTGTAAGGGAAAGTCATGCTTCAAATGCTGTGAAGAGTGATGAATTTCTAAAAAAGAAAGTTGTCACTTTATCACAAAAAGCAAAAGAAATCCAAGAAGTCCTCTCAGTTTCTTTTTAACTTTGGAGCAACAGTTTATGGAGAGAGGCATAAAAGAGAAGGAAGTCAGTATTGTAGCTGAGAGATTTCTTGTGCCTAAGATCAATATCACCCGCATAACTGATGTACCAATCACCAAAGAAAAGGACCTCACAGGATGATGAGCAAGATCAACGACATACCTAGAGATCAAGTAGTGTGTTAGGGTCAGCCTGAATTGCTGCAGAGGATCAAGTTTAATGCACAGAGAGATGGTGACTATTAGCGACAGTACAAACCCTTCTCACTCGAGCTATCATGGCAGACAGACGAGAGGATGAGACGTGGCAGAGGATGAGAGATGTATTGCAAATGAACAGAGCTGTAAAAATACAAAGAATTATTCTGTTCTTAAACAAGTTGAATGGTGTCTTGGAAAAACAGATTCTACTCCTATGTATGCTTCTTCTGCTAAGTAAATCACTCAAATTAAATATTTTACAAATTTTATGTTCATTGTACATACTTATGAGGGGTACCATAAAAAAGTCAGAAAGGAGATTAATAGTTTTGTCTTTGCATCAAAGCTTGAATACTGGGCAATAAATAAAGCACATGATCACACTGTACAATAAAGAGAAAAAATATCGACTAGTGGTTTATTAAAATGAACTCTATCTACTCCTTGCACTAAATGAGGCCAGACCTTTGGAAAGAATATTATGTAATGATGTAATTAAAACCTGAATCATGATGCATATCCTTAACTAAATTTGCACTGGCAAATTTAATTCTAAAAGTTTACTTGCTTTTAAATACATTATTTTACAATCTTATTCCCTGAGTCATTTAATGCTTTGATTTATTCATATTTAAACATATTTACTGAAGCAACACAAATACCAAGTGTTTACATATCATTTTACACTTTGCAAATATTAACTAATTAGTCCTTTCCCCAATAATCTGAAAGATAAGTAATAAAATACATCTTATCAAGTTTCAGAAAACAAATTCAGTGATAGTTAAGAAGAACACATTCCAAAAGGGACTACTAGCTAGATGTGATTTCTGGTCTAAATATATTCTCCTTCCTTCCTTCAAAAACATTCAGTATTTCATCATCTGAAAATGCCCTGTGCCTTGAGGTTTACGCCTTGACCTTTACAGCCAGTAAAGGCAGGGAAAAAAAATAGACCCATGAGGATGGAAATATTTTGTAGAGCATTACAGTTTCACCATTTTCAACCAATCAAGGTCTTTTACATTTGAATTAGAATTTGAATTATTTGACTCCTCCTTTGGAACACCATTTATCTTTTAATTATAGATGTCAAAAATTTTCCTGTGCAGCAATACAGATCTATTTCTTTATAGAAATATTCTTGATTGAAACATAACAATTACCTTACAATCCTTCTTCTTCTTACAGTCCATTTTTAGTAGAGAATTCAAAATATCATTGAATTAAAAACTCTTTTTACTTTATCTTCTTGAGACAAGGCAACCAATATTTCAGCATACTAGACCACAGTCAGCACTGAGCCTGTGATACCATTGCATTTAACCCACAGGAAACCTTTAACCCACAGGAAACCTTTTTGGTTCTAGATATTTAATCAGTTGTACATTCATTCCACTAACTTTATATCATGCAGCTCCAAGAACCAAACCCTTACCCCTTTCACCTTAGTAATTTTTAAAATATGCAACACTTCATATAACATTAAATTGTTTTAAAATACCAGAAGGAAATGCAGTACTGAAGTACTGAAGAGAGGCAACTGTTTAAAAGAACATTTCAAAAGCGTAAGTACAAGTGAACCAGTGTCAGCCACCTTGGATATTTTTATACATCAAAATGGTGTATAATGCATATACCATTATGCCAGTCAACCAAACTGCTGTGCCCATTAGCAGAGTGCTGTGCTCTGGTTAAATGACCACCTGGGTCACAGAAATAGTCTGTCAGTGGCATGGTAGCTGGAAGGTCTGGTGACTGAGGAAGTGGTTTTATTCTGGTCCAGCACCATACTCATGTAGTTTTGCTGCTGTAGTCTATGAAGTTGAAAGACTCATTCAAAAATTATATTTATGTTTTTCACTGGGGTGTGCCTTATTGCTATTACAGAGACAGAATTCCTACTAGGTTAACAAGATTTCAGACTGACACAGTGACAAGTATTGCATGTGGTGGCCTCTCATCATTGCTTTTTGTTCACCAGTTCCAGAGCAAGTTGCTAAAGCACAAAGCTATGCAAAAATGTAGACTATTAAAGTGGTTTATGAATCAGAGATGCTATGTTTCATGGAAAAAACACTGGATTTCATATCATAAGCTCTTCACCCAGGAAAGTTGATTTGTGTTTCTAACTCATGCAGAGATTTTGAAAAATTTCCTGTAAGGGTATCAGGATGATATAACATTGTTTGCCATACATCTGAGCCATTTTCATTTCAGATCATTTTACATCTTGAGACTGGTAAAGAGAAACATGAATGCACTTGATTTGACCTACTTGGTTTGCATACTCAAGACTGTCAGGCCATCTCAAAATCATCTGTAAGATCTGTTGCTTATATGAGCTGATTAACTGAAATCCAGTATTTGTATTTCTTTGTGGCAGAAAAAACTTGGTCTTTTAACTTATTTGAAGTTTGCAATACATACTGAAATTTAATACTGCAACCACAAAAACCATATTGATTTCTGTATTGAATTCTATAAAGATGAATTTAACACAAGATTACAACATTTTTATGTAAGAATTCAGTGTTAAATATCTCAATTGTCTGGGTGATTAATACTCAAGAATTGAAAAAACGTAATTCTTTGACAATTGCTGATGCACATTTAAAATGAACAAAACTAGCAAATGATGGGTGAAAGAAGGTTGTAAGCCCAATACTACAAAAGAGGTTCCCATGTGTCAACTCATGATATTTCGTGCATGAAACGTCGATGGCTCTGCTCCTCTTTGTGCAAATTAAAGCACAGCCATAGATTTATGTAAAAGCTACAGACACCTTCCTCTCTGGTCATTTGTCCACAAGGTCAGAAAAGCCAGTGTGAACTCTCTAGTTAAATTTGTTTTATATGATTGAAATTTGGGGTTTCAAGCATGAGAGAATGACTTCTTGGTCCCCAGATGTGGAGAATCAACCAAGCAAGACAACTTTGCCAAGCCTCTTTAGCCCTCCCCTAACACATTGACCCTATCGCTCTATGCCTTCCTGTCTCTGGAGCCTTGTCAGTACTATCCCCTGCAGTGGAGCTGTGCTGTGCTCATAAAGTATGGGCAGGGACAGCTTTCACTAGTTTAAAAGCAAAAAGATGACCTAGCTGTGATTTTTAAATTATTTTAATTACGTGAGTATCTGAATTGACTTTCATTGAATATTTCAACCAATTTCTAAATCTCTTTTACAATATTTTAATTTTTTCCCTCATATATTATTTTACCACATAAAATACCAGTAAAGTAATGCTTTATTGAAACTACTCCCAAGCACAACAAAAATATGTTCTTACTTGTTTAAGTTTCTTTAGATCTTCATCGAGTTCCAAGTTGTCCAAAATAACAGCAACGAACAAGCTGAGTAGAATCTACAAAACAATTGTAAATGATTTGTTAAAGTTGACTTTATTTTTGTTAAGAAGTACTATTAAATGACACGGAAAAATGATGGCCCTATGGACAAAAACTGGATTCTTGCCTTTGACATCTGTTGAACTAATATCTCCTAGCTACTATATATCTCCTAGCCATTTTGCAAGTACTAAATTGATTTTTATTTTACCATAAAATTAATATGAGTTTAAAAATGTTGAATTCTAGGTTTGATGACCAATGCAATATACTTATTAAAAGGTACTTCACTTGCAAAGAAAATTAAATTAATCTGAAATAATAATTAAAAACCGCGCAAAGCAAAATCCTAAAACAGCTTGTAAAGCTAAGGTAGTTTTCAACTAAGGTAGGAATCTTAGCACTTTTTTAAAAAGAGTTACAGACCTAGAATATTTCTGTAGTCTTGGACCCCTGAGTGACAACCAGAGCAGACATATTGTTTCAGCACTACTATGAATGAAGTGCAAGTTTACCTGTCCCACCTATATAGAAGATAAAATTTAAGTGGCTTAGTATGCCAGCAAGGAGTTTGGAACTCAAACTGCATCACAGTTGAGTGTCTGGACCTTATTCCAAGGAAGAATTTTCTTTCCCTCCATGAACTATAAAGGTACAGGAGACACAGGAAGGACTCTGGTCCATAAATTCAAAAACTGTCAGTGTTCAGAAAAAAATGTGTTCTTTGAACAGGAAAGTGGCTTTAGCAGACATATTATATGTGCCACATACTTAAAGAGTACCTCACACAGTTTTCAATGATCCAACTACAACCAACAGTGGAAGTAAAGATGGCATTCAGAATGGCAAAGCAAGACAGAATTCTGATAAAATACATAATACCTGGCACAATGTGGAGGCCCAGAGAAGCTGACTTTAGTCACTGGATGGACTGTGGTGATGTAACCTCCTCTGCCTCCCCCCAGTTCACCCTAAGATCTGAGAAAGACTCATTAGGCCTCAACCTTGATGAACTGCACAAGGTCTAAGCCCCTCCTGAGTTTATTAGAAACACTGTCTGTTCCCAGGAACTAACAGGTGTCTAATAAGCACCTGTTTTTTAATGAACTGCCTTGAAAACTTATTTTTCTTGCCTGAATAACAACTCAAGTAGAATAATATTTTTGTTGTTGAACTTTCAAAGCAAGTTACTGTCTTGAATTGTGGCCAGAATGGAAAATTACTATAACTAAAGCCCACTCTCTAATGACTTTATAAACAGCGGTCCAAAGTGAGATGCTTTTGAGGTCTCGATTCCCAGAAGAAGGGGATAATGTGTGTATCTCAAATGCTGATAACTGGATGGTTGTGGATCCAGTCAATGACTATTAGTAATAACAGACATGAATTGCTGGCAATAAACAAGGACTACTGGTATTAACATGGCATGAGAAAGAACAAGATTTGGCTGGAGAAGGGGGGTCAGGCAGAGATAGGGCAGCGCTTTTCTGTGAGAAATAAGCACAACACAGTACAGTGAAAGCTCAAGAGTGGCAGGAAGTGGTCATGTACTACAGGTTGGGATTGTGACCACCAAAGTCCCTCAAAGCCCTACAACCCATTTCCAGAAAGGCCTGAAAGAACAGACTGCTCATGATAACTAACTAGCATAGAAAGCGAGAAACCCATCTCTGGGGTGGAGAAACCTGTCCATAAAATGGTACCCACCCAAGCCCAGGCAGTGCCCTTCAGGACCGTGGACATCTCAGTGGCCAGACTGATGCAGCTGGATTGACACTTACCAGCTTGATCAATGCTGAACCCAGGATTGGCGTCCCCCCAGTGGGATTGACACTGGAAACAGGACTCTCTTTCTCTTTCTTTTTCTCTTTTCCTTTCTCTCTTTCTTAATTAATTAATCTCTTCCCCTTTAATTTCTGTCTTCCCTTTTATCCTACCCCTTTATCCAAAACCCACTGCCATGTGCTTATATAGCAGGTCAGGGACTAATATACCGATTTCCATGCCAAGTGGAACTTTCTGACTGTTTGTGGACTCTCTGACTTTTGTCGTTCCTTTAGATGATCAAGCATTTATGAATCTTAGGTGCTTCCTTCCCCTTAAGGGTGGGTTGTCACACACAAACTGCTTCGATCCCTAATTAATGATGAACAGTTTTGCTATAATTCTGTCAGGATTTTACAGTATGGTGTTTTCCTTCTTCAGATATGTTATACATTCCATGATACTCCAGCACCTGCAGCTCAAAGCATACCAGTTAAGGAAGTGCTGTTCCACAGTAAAAAGAAGTATGGCACTCATGAAAGATATCACCCCTTACAGTCTTGCTGATTCACGAACTGATATGTATCAAGACAAGACTTTCTTGCTCCTTTTTTCTTTTTTCCAACAAGAACCAAAGACGATGTACCACAAAGTTAAATGTAAACTTGTTATTTGTTTAATTTCCTCTGCTGCCATCTCAACTAATAACAGTCCTTGGTTCCAAGAGTGGGATTTTTTTCTGAGCTTCAACTTTTCTTTGCCTTCTAATGTGAAACCTATTCATTTCTTTCCAAGGCTCTACAGTGTGCTTTGCCAAATGCCTGCAATTATCTCTTCTCAATTCTAATCCTCCTCCCTCTTCCAGTTGTTAAAAGTAATTTCTTCATTTAACTTCACTCTTGTTATTCACTGATAGCTGTTTATTCTTAGAATGCTTCTTTTAGGTTTCAGTAGCAGCCCAACTGTTTTCATTCTCCCTTACCAGTTCCATGTTATTTTCTTTCTTTAAACTTCTTTTACCTACAGAAAACTCTGTCCTACATAGTTTTTCTCTGCCAGGGTCTGAGGAAGGTCTTAGAACTGAAACTAAAAACTTCATAAGCCCAGGTAATTCTGCAAAGTTGTCTGCTGCACCCACAATTACAGTCTGATTATTCAGTCTTTAGCAGTGAAACAGGACATACTGTAAAGTAAAAGAAGTAAATAGAAGCTGATGAAGATTGTATAAATACATTTAATACCTTATGTAAGTAGACAATTGAGTAAAGAATGAAAATGGAATGAAGAGTAAGTGTATCAAAACGTCCAGTGAATGGAGAATACAAAATGAGTAATTGTAGGAGTGAATTAAGGGAGCATAAAATGGTTAGTCCCCCTGATTGTGGTATTTTCTCTGTGCTGGTATTCCAAATACAGTACTGAGCCCGTAATGATATAGGATAACCAAAGAGATGTTTTCCTTCCCATTTTCTCTATAAAAGAATGTAAAAATCCCATTTTAAATGTATACAGAAAAATGGGGCTTTTAGATATAATCCCCATTTCTGTATATGTGCAGGAACTGCTGTATTAGTTCTTGTCCATTTATTGCTTGATATTCTATGTCATACATATATGTGCATTGATTTTGCATCAGACAACAGGAATGTAGTGATTAATAGTTAAGTTTATATCCTGAGGCTTTACACTTCTTACTTTAATTACTGTTGCAAAGAGAATGCAACGAAAGCTGAGGAGACCATTTCTACATGATAAATAAAATCACCTGCTTAACTCCGCAATCATTAGAGCTGTGAAAGTACAGGACAGATAACAATTATACTGTTAGTTTAGCAGTGTTACTTGGATCTAAGAAGAACAACACCTCACACCAGAACAAAGCCCACCACTTTATGCCACATGGCTGAAGGGTAAATTAATTCTACCACATCAAAGAATTAGTCCTAAAGCCCTCTATGCTAAAAATGGGCACCACAATTAGTTTTAACTAGCTGAGAATTCTAAGTAATACAAGAGCTATGAGAATAATTCAAAAGCACAGCATATTTAAGAATGAAAACTTACCAGAGTAGCAAAAAGATGATACAGTATAAAATAAATAGCAACTACTGGGGCCCACATATGTCCTACAGCATTCAGTGTCTGATCCATGACATCCACCCATCCTTCCTGTGTGAGAATCTGAAACATTGACATGAATGCCTGCAGGAAAGAGAATTGTCAACATATTAACAAATTATATTAATATGGTTATATCGACACATTCCTAAAGTTAATTTAACAGAGCAGAACACCTGTTTTGTTTTGCTTTTTAAACCTTAACAAATGTATTTCAACTTTTAAAGCCAAGCAAAACGCTATTCATGAGCTAAAGGAGAAATCAATAGCTTGACCATTGAACTGTAAACTGCAATTTGTAACATAGTCCTAGCTCCAATAGCCCATATGAAGAGCTTTTTGGTTTCCTTCAGGGCTGCAAAAAAGAAAGAGAAAGATCCTGAGCATCAGATATTATTGTTTTGAATGCTATACTGTATTGTGATTTTTTGATTATGCTTTTTCTCCCATGTTACCTCTTTATGAATATACTTATAATGAAGTGTTATAGTTAAATGTGACCACACTTTTATGTAATCTTAATAGTAGAAGCATTTGAGGCACCCCACAGATGAGACTGACCAACAAAAGGCAAGGTCTCGGTACTTGCACTTGATTTAGCCAGTCAGCCTGTTCCTCTACATTTTGTAAATAACACTCTTTGTGGAACTGTTCCTGTAACATTTTCAAATCCCTTCAGACCAGACATACATGTCAGAAACAGAGTAAATAATGGAAATGTTTCAAACAACTTCATTTGGTGATAGGAACATATGAAAGCAGATAAATCTAGAACCCAGATGCCTTAGACCTTTGGAACCCCAACTGGAGCCTACAGCATCGACCAGAATCGAACTCAACGTGAGCATAGACATCCTACATAGCTACAGAGGACTGCAGGCTGCCTAGGAAACAGAAGTTGGACTATAGTATCAAAGTGAAGTGTGGATCTTGATAGTCTTAACTGTCTCAATGAGGCCAAACTATTGCACAAGTTTCTTTTGCTTTTGCCTAACATCAAAAGTGCTCTCTTTCCAGACAGGATCAAAGCTGGTATCTTACTGAAATTTATGCATAACAAAAAAGTGTTAGGAACTGAAGACATTAACAATGCAGCTTACACCTAACAGGATTCCTATAATTCAAGATGTTATAAAGATATATTAGGTCTGTGCTCAGTGTGCCTGACACTCCCAGCAACAGCAGATTAACACATTAATGCACTGGCACAAAAAGAACAGCATTCTTCTTGTCAAACCTGTGAGAAAACAGTACCCAGAGAGCTATTCACATCAATTTACCCTAAGTCAAAATGCATGCTTGAAAAGCTGAAAACATGTAGGTATATAAACTTATGTGCTTAGGAAACAACAAAATTAGTTCTAATTAATTTTTAAAGCTGCTGGCAAAAATAATGGTGGGAGACTTCAGTTTTATATTCCTATTATAAATTACAGGCAACTTTGCTTGGGCTCCTTATCAAGTTTGCAGTCTTCCAAACAAAACAATGACTTCTCTAAGCAGTTTCTTCCAATGTGAACACGACTCTTAAGGTTACACCTACACCCTTAAGGGAGGCCACTCCAGAATGTGATTTCTCACCTGCAGTGAAGGCTAATTTACTCTAGAGAAGACCGTCCATGTGCATACATACAGCACTTGGTTGTGGTCTACGTAAGGTCCCTATGGGTGCAACACACCAGTAATATTTGATGAAAGGTGCTGGTTCCAACTATCTGAAATAATAAGAAGGATGTGGCATGACTCACTACATTCTGTTTCTGCATCATGAAATCAAGGGTGTATGCTTTTTGCTTAAAATTTGAAACGATGGCCTGCAAGTACAAAGCATGCTGTAACAGGGCTGGGTAAGGCAGGGACAGTCTAATCCAGTGCATCTTGTTATGCAATCACTGCAAAAAAGGAGTTTTGGAGTGCCCAGCTGGAGAGAACAATTTCCCAGAATCACAGAATATTCTGACTTGGAAGGGACCCACAAGGATCATTGAGTCCAACTCTTAAGCGAATGGCCCATGCCCAGGGATTGCCTCAGAGAGGGATTTCTGGAAGTAGAAAGAAAGTTAAAAACTAAACAGCATCAGAAGGCCACTGATACTCACTGTCTGTCCATTCTTTCATTGACCACTGATAAGGATCCTAGGAATAAAGCTTTTTCTCCTCTGTCTAATTAATACATATTTTAAAGTACAAAAATTGGATCATGTTGCCTCTAGATCATGTTCAGAGGAAGAATTGTGAATTTTTGCTCTGTTAGAGGGGTCACAAACATTTAGAAACTCAAGGGTTTGTAAAAAAATTGCCTGCTGACTCTCACAAAAAAAAAGCCCCTCGCCAGAGTCCAACTTGGTTTTTTACTGCTGATATGTTCTGTGGCATTCTGAAGCAGACAGAAGCATAAACACATTGTTATGTTAAGACCAAGGAGTTTGAGAGCTATTTTTACAGTTGCTGTTCAGAATTAACTCACACTAATCAAATTTTCAGAGATGCTTAAGCCTACAAGTCCAAATTACTCACAAAAAGTGAAGCTAAGATGTACATGGAGCAGCTTAAGGCATCCAAGTGAGCAATCACACACATTGGGAGAGAAGTTAAACATCAGACTTTAATTTTTACATCAGACTTTAATTTTTACATCAGCAACATCTTGACCAAATGTAAAGTCCCAACCTTTCTTTTGAACATATAGATCCCACAGAGAACAAAGGCTATCATGAACTAGAAGCAGCAGAGAAAACTGCTCGCAACTACTTTTTTTGTAAATTCTTTATGGTGGCTAAGGTTTTTGGTATATCATGTATTAGGAGAGACTAAACATGATGGTTGGAATTTACACAGTGCCCTCTACTTTATGTTGCTTAACTATGGCCTTAACTAGCATCCTGCCAACCTGAATCCAAGATCCTCCCTTCAAATTAGTGTCCCCTTACAGCCGTGCACACGGACTCTTTACACTGCGCAAAATACAAACTCTTATTACTGATTCATTTTCTTACAATAAATAATTTTCTCCCCATGGAAAACATGCAGAGAAGGAAGCATTTGCGATCTTTATCTAGGAGAGGCCTTGTGTAGCCAGCTGAGCATGCATGAAGGAAGCAGAAAATTCAGCCTCCTTTACAGCTGCCAGTGATGCTTGAGGATGAAGAAGACAATGACCCCATCAGCCCTCAACACTGCCTCTCAGGTTCCCTTCGTAATGGGGAGGTGAAGCTAAACCAGGCAGCTGTCATTTCCCTGCACTCAGAGCACCTCTGGAGTGGCAGTGGTACCTGACTGGTGTGGCACTCCTTGCTGAAATATAAGGTGCGCACTGCATTAAGTAACATACCCCACTGTTGATTTTAAAAACACCTGAGGGACTGGGTAACTGAACCAGTGCAGTATCCTTTCTTCTGAATCACAGCAAATTCCAATATTTTAATGTTTTTTAAAAATATATATTTTACTTAATTCTTCAAAGTGTAAAGATACCTCCAATACTGTGACCTCTCATTAATATAAGTACTAGATTAATGTGGAGAAGATATTCTTTGAACATCATAAAAATCTAATCTTCCATTTAAACCAGTTGTTCATTAAGCACATAGTTATATAAAATGACCTTTCAATATAATTTAAGTATTTTATTATACCATTTATGAAAAAAAATTAGTTTTAAGTAAATAAGGCAGTGCACAATGAGTATGCACCTTGCAACTAGCAATCTCCTTTGGAGCAAGTTATTTTTAGCTGAAAGATAGACTTCCCACTGTTTATTTTAAAATTAATTTGAAATGCAACTAGCTGACAGAATCAACATCTGTGAAGACAAGACTTAGAGATTTATGCAAATGGTGATTTTCTGCATTAATTTGTGTTATAGAAAAGACTGTCAATTTCTTTGAGTATTTATGCCCTATTACTTAATGAGCTGTTTTGATGATGGAAGTCAAACTACCTTTTTATTTATAGTAGAAGATTGGCAAAAGTTTGGTAGAATATATGAGCCAAAGCACCAGTTCTGATATCTTGTCCAGCTATTACAGGGGTGGTGCCACACAAATTACTACTTAACAGTTATAATGTACTTGTCTTGTAACTGGAGCTTGTAGGGGACAAATCCTAATGGTCGTATTCATGGAAGCTGTTCTACAATCAGTGGGATTTTTTCTGCAAATTAAGTTAAAGGGATTTAGGACATTGCTATAACTTTCTTGCAATCTGTTCTGCCACCATAAACTTATGTTTTCCTCCTAACACAGTCATGAATGTGCAGTAATGCACTGAGAGGAGAGTAGCTGTCCTGTAAAAATGCGGCAGTCATACTGAGATTTTACCTGCATCAGAGAATTAAGACTGCATTGTTTAACTTTTCAAATGGATGTTGCTTAGGTTGAGCTAATATTTCATATCTTGAACGTTCTCCAAGTTTAAGGCTAGCAGCAAAGATCTGGTTTTGTGAAGACTGGAGGATTTTTGCTGCTGAGATCAGTTGGGCCTGGCTTTCATGTTGTAATGACCCATTTAAAAGAAAGGCAGCATTCCCAGCTTTGTAACCTGAGATACAGAGCAGTCAGCATATGGCCCCAAGCTCCAAGAGATACCAGGACATGGAAGTTGGAGACACTAACAATGTGTTTTGTTCTCCATACAGTAAATTCTCTTAGTGGTCTTCTTACACTTGTGCCTTTGAACAGTTTTCCCCTCCCATTCCTTCTTCAGGGGCCCAGCCACCCCTGTACTTTCTCATGGCTCAATATGTGCAGCCCAAGAAGACATGTAAAAATAACAGACAGCAGATGGGTTAAAAACATTGTAGCAAACATCTATATTTTTATACTTGGTATTAGATAGAAAGCCAGTCCATTGGGCCAAAAGAAGTAATGGCCAAAAGAAGGGTGAAATTAGTAGCCATGGCAACACTGAGCTTGTGCCTATTCACTGTCATCAGGAAACCATGTGAAAACATGCAATTTAGAGGCATTAGCAAAAGGAGGAGGTCTACTTGTTCCAAAACCCATACTGTGCCTTTTTATAAAGCACTTAGAGTTTCAAAATGATTGTAGGTTTTGTCTGTTTCCGTGTAGAAAACACTTTACTGTACAAACTCAAAATTTAGCCTCTAATGTCACCATTTTTGTTATCATGCTTGTCCTCTCTGTATTTGTAACGAAAAAAATGCCACAGTAACAATGCTGGAATTTTTAGGTTTGCTCTTCTCTGAGGGTAAGCTCCGAAAAATTTATCTTAGCAAATTCTGGTATTGCAGATCTCATATCATCTCTACTTTATATAGTACGTCTTCAGTCATGTTTTGAAAATAATTTTGTCTTATTGCAAACTGATTCAGTGGTCTTTATCCAGGGCAGCCTTTTCTAGGAAGTCACACTCCTTTGGAGGGACACCACTATTCACATAATCAATCACAAATTTTGAGTTCAAAATTTTCATTGACTTTAAACCTATTAAGAGATGTTTCAGTATAAAACTGCAAAAAGAAGCCATATACTGTAAATTATACACTTCTGAAACAATCATAACAAGGTGAATATCTATAAAAATAAAAAAAAAAGAAAAAATAAGGAGAGACTCTTACTTCTGGCCATCATATGAAAAATATTAAAAAATTTTCAATTCAGAATTGCTGGAACACTCCTTTATTGTTGGTAACAGGTCTTCTGATTTTCCAATACTTAAGTAAGAAAAGAGGAAACAAGTAAAGATATTTTCTGTTTGTAAAAAAAATGTATAATTTGCTGGAAAGAATATTTTCTCACTCTTCAAACATATATTTAGGATATTCATATATCTGTTAAAACTCAATATTCTAGAAGCTCTTATTGAAGTTTAAATGGCAACAGATTAAAATACTTAAAATAATCCAAAACTTTATTAATGTATTGATATATATTGGTAATTTTTCATTGCAAGTGGATCTTTACTCAGATACCAGTTTATCTAGTCAAAATGTGCAGGTGTTTGTGAATCTGTCTTATTTTAATCATACTACAATAACTCTTTGAGGACTTCCATTGCCATTTTGCATAAATAATAAAATAATTCTAAAACAAAATTCCTTGGTGATTTGAAATCTGAAGTTGGAAGTTTTTTACAGAAGTTACACATGGGAGTTGGTCACACATTAGAAAAGTTTAAGCTTTTTTTTTTTTTTTGGTGTGGTTTGTTTTTTTATTTCCTTTCTTCAGCATTTAAACAATTAATTATATGGAATTCTACTGGATGCTTTTCTAAGCACATTTTCCAAAACAGAAAGCATGGTGTTACATTATTCCCAGTGGGTAGGCATTTTTTGTCTCACATTTGATGGCCAGCTTCCCATACATCAAGTTCAGGTTGATAATTATAAATTGCTGCTTAGCCATTTTGTTTGCTAAATGCATGACCCTTGAGGCTGCCTTATTCATTGTTATTTAATTGTTCCAAACAATGCACTTTCACTAAAATAGATACATTGGATAACCAAGCTGGGATGACAGAAACAAATAAATTGTCACTGGAATCAATCCATGTACACTCAATCTAATCCACTATTAAAGAAATGGCAGTATTTTCATTCAGAACAGTGTGCTTCAATAAATACATTAGCTCCAATTTCCACTGATTTTCAGTGTTCTGTTCTGAATTAACGTAATGCTCATAAATATCCATTATTTATACCCAAAAGGCAAACACTTATTTTGTCAATGCAGACTGATTTTATAACCCTGTGTAAGACAAGCATTCCTGTACAAATCAAGAATAACATGAAGATAGAAATCATGTATAGACATATTTTATATAAATTTTGTGGCTAATATTCACGCTTGTGGGCATGAATCTTCTTTCTGTAACATGCTAGAGTACTGTTAAGCCATATGCTGTTGTGTCATCATCACAGTGCATAGGTAAAATTTCTCTATATTCCCTTGACAGCAGAAATAGAACACCTCACTCAAAGAAAGACAGCCTTCACTACAGAAGGACTACAGGAAGACTGTTATACCCAGAAAATACAATTCTTTTATCTATACATATGGAATAAACTGCTTCATGGTTCTCAGAAGGAAAGGAAGACCACTAATGTAATAAAAAATATGACAGAATGTGACTTGGTTTCGGCTGAGGTAGAGGTAATTTTCTTCCTAGTAGCTGGTACGATGCTGTATTTTGGGTTTAGGATGAGAATAATGTTGATAACACTCCAATGTTTTAGTTACTGCCAATCAGTGCTTGCTCAGAGTCAAGGCCTTTTCTGCCTCTCACCTCACGCCACCAGTGAGCAGGCTGTGGCTGCATGAGGAGTTGGGAGGGGACACAGCTGGGACAGCTGACCCCAACTGACCACAGGGATATCCCATACTGTATGGCATCGTGGTCAGCATATAAACTAGGGGGAAAGCTGGCTGGTGGCTGCAGATCGGAAACTAGTTGGGCATCAGTCAATGGATAGTGAGCAATGGCAATGTGTGCCACTTATTTTGTATATTCTAATGCTTTTATCATTATCGTTTTCCCTTCCGTTTCTGTCATACTAAAATTTCTTTATCTCAGTCCATGAATTTTGCTTTTTTTAATTTTTTTCCCAGTTCTCTCCCCCATCCCAGTCAGAGGGAGGATTGAACAAGTAGCTGTGTGAAGTTTAGCTACTGGCTGGGTTAAACCACGACAGAATCACAGAATTATTTAGGATAGAAAGAACCTTTAAGATCATTGAGTCCAATCATTAATCCAACACTGCCAAGTTCACCATCAATGGTAAGAAAATATCAATGATAAGAAAATAATAACAAGTAATGAGTAATCATTTTGAGTAATTAATGAGTAATGCTTTTTATACTTGCCCGTGGAAAGGTTGTAAATCTATCCAGTTCTTCCACAAAGCAAAACATCTGTAAACTGATTGCTGACATTACGATTAACAGGCTGGCAGTAAATACTACCAAACTCCCAAGTTTTTTTCCTGGTCCAAATATCTTGTACACAAAATCCTCCAAAGCAGGAGAAATCTTTATAAGCCGAACTACTCTAAGAACCTGCATGGAAAAAGAAAATACAACTGTATCAATGATTTGATTATCACATTAATCAAAACTTTTCAAAATATCAGATAGTCACGGCCAAAAATGGACTTGCAGCCCTGTAGTCCAATAAATATTAGGTTGACAGCACTTGTAACAGATGACAAGTTGTGTTAGGTTAAAAATATAAGACACAGAACATAAGCAGCATTTAAGCATATAGGCACGGGATGACAGCAGAAGTCTTGATAGACAGGCATGGGAGGACTGAAGGACCTGTAGACTGAAGGCTGTAAACAACTCGCAGATCACTAAGAGTCATTGCAGAAATGCAATTGGGTAAAGCTGGTTTTGAGGTAACAATGGGAACAAAGACATAGGCAAAACATATGACAGATAGTAAATCTGAATGCAATGTGGAATTAGAGACCAATGGAGGCTTATAGTGTGTTAGTAAATATAAGAATGGCTCCAGGCAGGGGTCCAAGCACATCAGTCTAGATTTAGCAACTGAGAATCTACTGCAGTGCTAGTAAATTGCTCTGTTTTGATTAGCATCACTTCTAAAAGTTCGTACTTATTCTAAGCAGACAGGCTCCTGAACAGTCTTTGAAGAAACCTCTGCTTTGAGCAGCCAGCTGGATGAGATTACTTTGAAAGGTCACTCCCAAACTAGATTTTTCTATGATTCTATAATGTTTGTTGTACCAGGTTACATATTCACATAAAGAGTTGCCAAATCTTTCCATTTCAGTGATCGAAGGCAAAATTGTTTGGCATTGTGTACTATGTAACCTAGCAAATTTGGTAATGAACATATTTTGCTATTTCATATTATATATAACATGGGAAATTTTGGGTGGCATTTCTCAGTATCAGAGGAAAAAGCAATGTGTGCCACTGACATATTTGATACCTTGCAGTATTAGTACTGGCAGCAAAACTTTGATCATGTGTGGAACTCCTGACCCATTTACTGCTGAGTCTACTTGAAAGAGCTGTTTATTCACTGTGCCACTGATGCTGGCACAGTGACATGAATATCAGAATCAACAAGAGGCAGTGGCAACAACAGTAGTTGCTGAAGATAACAGACAGCAGCACATGGGGCAACTGAGATTCTGCAGTTCTTTGGGAGAAAAAGACTCTCTAGCCCAAGGTATCATCTGGATTTCCACAAGAATCATATTGCAATCAAAAGGTAGTAATTACAATGCAGTTATTGGTTGAACTATGTGCAAGTCAAATACAATTACTATGTTGTTTTTGGAGAGAAAATAAGTATGACAGTTGTTCACAGAATGAGATCACTGTACTTTGTAGTTTGCTAAAGACTGTACACCTTTGGATTTTGCATGAAACTCATCTTCCTACTCATTTGTAAGGTATGCAGAATATGCTTGTCATTTAGACTTTACTGCAAAAGCGGAGGGAGAGAGAGAAAGTCGACTCAAGAGAGCAACTTATTCCAAACATACGAGATCCCTTGTGTGAGATGGGATGAGTCTCCACTGTCTTCAGTGGTAAACAAGAGTGCCAGATCAGAGGTTAGACTAGACTTTCATAACATTAGCACAAGGTGAGATAAAGTCCTTTCTTTCATATAGGTACTGTGGTTACATTACATGAAAATGGATACCAAGGCAGACAGCGAGATGAGGGAGATTTCCAAGTACTATGAATATGTAAATATGGTGCCTTCTTACTTACAAGATTTACTCATGGTGTAAATGTTAGCTCTGTTCCCATCAATACTGGTTTCAATACAGACCCCAGTGAGGTGAACATTTCATGCTAGTCAGTATTCTGTTTTAGATAAATGCAATTATCTGCCTTACTTTTTTCCCCTTTCTTTGGAGAACTTTATTGACCTTTAAGCAACACACTAATCTTACTGCTACTATTTGGTTTATTCATTTATTTTCATTAGGTGACAAATTGAATTTAACAAAAGTACACTCTAATGAACATTTATGCATTTTGTGTAATTGGATTGCAAATTGTATTAAATTTGGGAGCTGTGGAAGACACACTATTTGGATTAAATATAAAGATATGTTAAAGAACAAATCAAAATGAATAATACAAAAGAGGAACCACAGCTTTGTTACAAAGAATGGCTGCATCTCCTACAAGGAATGATAGTTATTCAGAAAATGACTCAGCCATATTTTCCCCAAGCAGAAATACAGTACCATCTCTTCAGTACAGTATAGGTCAAATTCTGTTTAAATCTCTCCCTTTTATGCTGGTTCATTACAGATCTCTGCAGAAATATGCAAAATCTGTCATTTCTCCACCAGTTTTGTGCCCTATGGATTATTGCCATGTAACAGTTCTTTGCTGTAGTCTTTCACAGAGGACTTTCCAAAGTGTTTTGAATAAATGCACAGTGAATGCAAGAAAGATAAGAGGGACAGTGGACAGTAGCCAGTGTAGTAAAGAGTGAATGATGTGCTGGCAAAAGGTAATGGTAAAGACCAATGAATAATGCAAACTGAAATATATGCAAGGAAGACTAGACATGCCAAACAATAAATCTGCTTGCTATCCTGGAATGTGTCAAGTAAGACTTCTGTTTCCAGTAATCTGTTTTATTCACTGACAAGGAACACATTTAACCTGTCATCATGAATATCTAAAGGTCTGGAAATCTGCCTAACATCAAGATGTATTCATGCGAAAAAGACTTTTTGACCTTGGTTGATTTAAAAATGTGTTATCTAGCTTGCCCAGAACTTAATTGCAGAGGAATACAGTGTGTACCTCCCTTACAAGTTGACATCAAAGGTATTCAGCCTTCCTATCCTTTGCCTCTTAGGGGTTTTGGATTGCAAAATAAAACTCAAATCTTTCAGTGTAGCAGGTGTTTTTGCTTGTAAAATATGTGTCTTTCATACATTCTGGAAAAAAAAAATCACATCTTGGAATCTTCTGTCATAAAAGCTAGCACGTTGTAATTAAACAAACACCACCTCAGCTCCACAAAACTAATTAAATCCATTAAAAAGAAAATACTTATTATTTTATTATCAACATCTGGCTACATTTTAATTACACTTTCAATCCTATGACTTAGTGATGATGTTCCCCATTTAGTCCAAAATGTTCATAAGTTATACTTAAAATTCTTAGAAAGAAACCACCAGTCATAAGTGGACTCTTCCCTAATAAATATGGACCAACTATTAACCAAGTTGCTAACTTCTTTAACTGAGATCTCCCAGCTATGTTCCCTCTGTGCTTTTGACACAGCAGTGCAACGGCATAGTCCTGACAGATCATCCTTTCTTGCAGGTTAGATGTACCATGCTGCACTGAGTAACCATATTTTATATATTTGGAAAGCAAAATCAATGCTATAATGATCTAAAAGTCTTCAAATAATATCAGGTGAAAGCAAAATAGATTTTTTTCACCTGAAAGCTTTCTTGAACAGGTTTGTAGAATCATTCAGAAAAAATACAGGATGACATTTGCAGAAATCTGAAAAGACCATTATACTTCAACCCACACTTGGGGAGTACTCATAGTATGTGTCACTATAACTAATCAAATTGATTGACAGGACTCTGTTGGACAATTTATTATTTTCCTTTGTTAATTATTACTTATTCACCATGCCAATCCATTGTTGAATAATGATATGAATCCTTTATTATATATATACTTAAAATTCCCTTTCTTTAGCACTATAGAATATAACACATTGTAATGAATCCCAGTGCTTTCTCCCAAAACTGGAGCAATCTCAGGCACTTCAGGGAGGATGAATGGGAATTAGTTGGGCTGACTGACAGGCTGATCAGAAGTCTGAATTAACAAGTCTTTTTTTTGTCTCTCTTTCCCACTCTTCCACAAAGTGAAAATTTAGGAACAGTCTCACACACTTTCCCTCTAGATAAGGAATGGCTGAGGAGCTTTAAACCCAGCTCTAAGAAGATTCTGGAGAAATGACCTCAGAAGACCCACAGTAACTGGAGCAGAGCCTCTTAGTTAGGCATGTGACTGTCACAGAGATGAAGATTTGGAGGAGCAACAGCAAGTGTACTGAGAACTCCGGGAGACCAGCCAGGAAAACAGTGGTGGACACTACAGGAAGGCAATGTTGTAAACAGCCATATACAGGGTCAGGGCTCAATGAAAGACAGTGGAGAAACTAATCCAGAACTTACTGAACAGTGCAACTCAGATAAGAAATGGGAGTTACTGAAAACAGAAAGGATTTCTCAGCAAAGTTAGAAAGAATCCTATTTCTGTAAATCCACCCAATGAACACAGTTAAGAACAGAGAGATTTGTTATCTTAAAGTTATTCTCAAAATGAGTTAATACTGTGAGAAAATTGACATTTGTGTGAAATGTTGATGGGTTAATGTTTTAAATTGATATATAGGGTAAAAAGTAAAAGTAGATGATCATACCTGAAAATATGTAAATTGAGAATGATAGAGGTCTGGATAAATATGGAGAGTAGTTCCAATTACAAGCAGCAATTCAAACTTGTGAAGAGATGAGCTGATGTATCCTGTGAAACCCAAACACCAGATCTTCAGGAGAGCTTCTAAATCAAACAGAACTGTGAAAGCAACCTAGATAAATATATAAGACAAGAAAGATGCATTCAAAACACTGAGTTAAATTAGAAGTTTTTATGTCATGATGTCTATAGAGGTTTTGTAGGGCAAAAATAAAGATCTTCATAACGTTTAACAAAACCAACCATATTCTAAACAAAATAAACAATAATAGATTTCACTTTATGAAAATTTCCAAAGACTCAATGCAGACAGGTAGATTTCATGGATTGGAAAGCATGAAATAATAAATCAATCCAGCTGATCTTTAAGTTTATGTACACATATAAAAAGGAAAATATGAAGAGATTTATTTTTTCAAAATACAAAGCAATATAGACAAGCCGTCTGAAGAATTTTAAGAGACCTCAGGAACAAATCACAGTTTAAGGTCTCTAGTTTGAAAATTGCTATTTCAATTTCCAAAAATATCCATAGAAATATGACAGTCAAAACAGGTAGCAAAGAAGTAATGGGACTTAAACACCTAAAACAAATTTAAAAAAGAGACAAAATTCAAATTTAGTCCAGAATTGGTTAATTTTCACAAAGGTGTTAAAGAAGTTGTGCCTAGTAGGAAGTTACAAGAGAAGAAATCTACTTGTAAGGATTGAATGATTTTGAGGTTCTTCCAGAGGCTTTGAAATATTTGCACAATAAAATGCATAACATTCAGCTTGGACAAAAGGAGACAATTTTGAATAAGTTTACATCTTCAAAATTTATTTTCTCTTACTTCTCTCACTACCAAAAATACATCTGCCTAGACACACTTCTTCCTCACATACCTTCTTATTTTACCATTGTATGTACTCTAGATGCTCTCTCCCTCACTCTCCAACAGCCAGGAAACCCAATGGAAAAGATGCTTTTCCTTGCCTCAGAAATGTTCCTCTCTGACTCTTTTACACATGTTGGGGCTTAAAAGAGACACTAAAAGAATATTAGGTCACATCTAAATACAACTAATACTTTCAAAGTGCAGTACAAGTATTAAGGAAAAACAGTTTAAATCTCCTTTGAGAAAAAGCATTATTAGTCTTTTAAGATGGAGAGACTAATTGACTGTGAATCATAATGTTTACTAGATTTGGTAGGGTATAAAAAATTTAGAGACTAACATTTTAACTTTGAATTGACAGTGACAATCTCTGGGATGCTGCCTTAAGTACTTATGTTATTTAAAATTTAAACTCTACAGTGCATCAAAAATATATTTATCAACATAAAAGAGGGAAGTTGTGAGATAGCTAAAAAAATTTTACTTATTTTATGTGTACAGGACTGCCACAAGAAGGAGTGGAGATGGAAATTAAATGCTGAAGTTTATGTCTTACGTTTATTCCCCTAGTCCACACACCTATTTACAAGAAGTGCTACCAGCTGTATCATACAGCTTCCTCAAGGCGTGCAAAATAGTTATCAGGCTTCAAATGTCTTCCGAATGATTAAATCAAGGCAAAATGCTTCACAGCACTCCAAAAATCTCTTCACATTAGGAAAGAAAACTACTAGAAGTATTTGTGGGCTTTCAGTCATGGGGACAATGCAGGGACACTTTCAGGCTCTTATTCTCAAATGGATCTGGCCAGTTTTTTAGCCTGCACTCTGGGATCTCAAAGAGTTCTAGGAGAACAATGAGCCAAGTCTGAAGAGACTACATCTTTACATGAAAATCTCTATCTAAGACACAAGGTAAATATTTTATTAAAAAATCTTAAAAGTAAAGCTCACTTTTAATGACAACACATCTAACTGAGTCCTGAAAGAGAAGAGGGTCAAAGTAAGAAAAATGGAACAGTGGGTAGAAAGCAGCTGGGATTCAGCTCAGAGCAGGTGAAATAGCCATCATCATGGCTAGGCTTTGCGAACGAAGATTTGGGAAGGGCTCTACCCACATTTGCTACAAACACGCTGGTGGCTAAAGAGGTCAATGCCAGATAGACACGTCCAGTTGCAAAAGGCACAGCAGAAGGACTCCTTGGATGGTATCGGCAAGACACGATTCTTTCTGCGTTGTCTTTTCTCCTCAAGAGTGATCCTGCGTGCGTTCTCAAAAGCACCAGCAGCGTTATACATAGTGTGTTCCAGGCCTCCCGATTGGAGCCCAGAGTAGATGAGTGATGAAGATCAATGTGGCCAAGGCTGAGATGTTGTTTCAGGGAGTCCTTGTATCTCCTCTTTGGGGCTCCTCTCTTGCGGCAGCCGGTGGCAAGTTCATGATAAAGCAAGATCTTAGGGAGGCAGTGGTCCTCCATCCTGGAGACGTGTCCTGCCCAGTGCAGCTGTGTTCTCAGTAACATGGCCTCAATACTCGTAAGTGCTGCCTGTTCTAGAACAGATGTATTGGTCACATAATCTGACCAGTGGATGTTTAGGATTGTACGGAGACAGCGTTGATGGAAGCATTCTAAGAGTCACAGATGGTGGTGGTAGATGACCCATGATTCGGATCCATATAAAAGAGTAGACAGCACAATGGCTCTGTAAACACTGATCTTTGTGCTTTTCTTCAGGTGTTTATTTCGCCAAACTCTTTTATGGAGTTTTCCAAAAGCTCTATATGCCTTTGCTAAGCTGTTGTCTATCTCTCCTTTGATCTCACCGTCCGAGGAGACCACTTAAATACACACATATACACTTCAGAGCACATAGGCTTCCTATTAGAACAAGACTAACAAATATGATGTTCAGTGTATTTTAATTTATTCTAAAAATGTGTGGGCAGGATCATTTGCATTTCACATGCTTGTCAAATCAATTCAAACCACTGGCACTTAAAAATGTATCAAATGGTTTGCATAACATTTGATTACATTTATACACCTGTCTTCCTGCTGACAGAGATTGTATTTTTTTCCTTCCTTGTAACTAATTACAGGAGAAGATTCAGAATATCTGACTAGAACTTTTTGTTAGACGTGAAATGTAATACAACTTTATAGTTTTGTGGGTTTTTTTTTAAAGCTCAAATAATTCCTTTCATTGCTGTAGAGACATGGGAAAGGCAAACTCAGATATGAAGCCAGAGCAGACCCACAGAGAAAAAGCAGGTGTAACACTTGAGCAGCCACTGAGCAGCCACTCTACATCAGGTTGCTAATTTTGCAAAGAGGAGCTAACAGGAATGGGCTGTTTCTCTGAGAGCCACCTCCCATTTGATCAGCTTCCACCTGGAAGCTTTATGGTATTAATGGCACCTTCAGCAACATTAAGTTTTGCCAGCAGCCACTTAACAAGTTTTTTTTCAGAGGCAGAGTTCAGTATCAGTGAAAACCCAACAGTGACAGACTCAGTTTGTTTTCTTTGTAACAGTGGCTCATTTGAAGGGTTATCAAGCTGTCGGGAAAGACAAGGATTCTTCCCATCAGGACCAGTGGGATTAAGGGCACAGACCTCTCACACTTCTCTCACTACCAGATTTGACACAGCACTCAATCCGTCCTTTATCCAGGACAGGGCAAAGTCAGCAGTGCAAGGGGACAGGCTACAGAAGGAATCTAGGAGGAACTGTATAAGACCTGGTTTTGAACTCTGGTGTCCAGACACTTTCAAGCAATATTTGTGGAAATCTTACACATCTCTAATAAGACTACTAGCCTGTAACATGTTTTAATGGAAGACAATATGGGAGATGCATATAAACCAAACATCCATCTCTATTCTGTGTAGATATTGAGCAGTTAAAGCCAACATCCTCATTAAAAATTACCGAAATGAGTTTGAAGCCCTACTCTTTCCAGGTTCTCAAATACTGCGCTGGGGTTTTGAGTAATCCTGTTAAAATTCTGTTTTTGCTTAATCTGCAAGGCTGATGTATAAAAGTTGAAATGCCTGTCAGAAACTGTTATTTACTACTAGGTATACAAACTTATGCAGAGAATGGATCTGGGTTTAGAATTAATTTTATCTTCTCATATAGCTTTTGCCTTCTTGAGTCTGTCTTCTCTTTCCAACAATGAAAACAAGTTTCTTTTCTCAGTATTGGGCATCACAATAGCTTCACTTAGATTTGTCTGCTGAGCTTAAGCAGATTTATTTCTACAGTTCCAGACCACTAAAATGTCTGATCCAGAGAAGGACCAAGAGAGCTATTTTCTTAGACATATCTGCTCCTAAAGCCAGTAGCTCCCAAGATGACTTCTGGAAAACGTAACAGAAAGCCATGTTTGCTGTAATTTATCTGGCCATTATCTGCTCCTAAAGCCAGCAGCTCCCAAGATGACTTCTGGAAAATGTAACAGAAAGCCATGCTTGCTGTAATTTATCTGGCCATTTCCTTTAGCAAGGGGAATCCTCACTGCTGTTGGCTGCTCAAGTCAGCTCCCAGTGAAGGGAAAGCTTTCTGCAGCCTAGTCTAATGGAAAAGACAGAGCAACAGCAGTGCATTCTGCTCCAACCAGTCTTCTTCACCAAGGAAACAAAGTAGCCACTGTGGAATAATCTGCATTGTTTCAGTATTCAGCCTCCTCAAGCCTCTTAAAAAACATTTTCTTTGTTCACCCTGTACTGGAAAGAGCAAGTTTCACAATAACCAAGTAGGAAATGACACCCGTTTATCAATTCCTCCTCTCTCCCATGATTTTTTTACTCTTCTGCTGTTCTTATACATTCCTTTATACCTCCTTCTATAAGATACTAGGGTTTTGTTCTTGTTTGATTTTTACAGTGCCTCTAGTAAAAGCATAACAGGCTTAAAAAAATAATAAAATCAACAGACATAAAAAATGCTTTAAAATACTCCCCCCTTTCTCTATCCCAGAATACTTTACACGCTATATAATCAGAAATGTAAAATGTAGCATGCAAGCAAATGAGTTTTCTGACAACCTCTCCACTAATAAATCAATTATCTAAGCTATACAGAAACACAATAATATATTGTTAAAGAAATTTGGACATAATTTATAGGACAGATTTATAATACACTAGTCTTCATGATATACTCACCTTGAATAAACTCTGGCAAGTATTTCTGTTGGAAAACAAGCTCACAAACCCTGTACTTGAAATAGATGTTGAAGAGATTGTTTCTAGCACTGATTATTAAAAGCATAATTATACTATATATTCAGAACCAAAATAGAAATAGGACATGCAGTGATCCCTTTTTTGAATAAAAATAGAATTAATGTTATTTTGTTAAGAATCTGGGCTCCACTTGTATGCTAGGCATAAAGCAAAAATGCCTACTGTGAATTCACAGTCTCAGGCTTTAATGCTGACTTAATTATTTGTTTCCGGCCAAGGACATTGTACTGGATTTGCCTGCAACAGAGTTAACTTTCCTCAACATGGTTTATATAGTGCTATTTTGGATATGTGCTGGAAACTGTTGGTAAACAGGAATGTTTTAGTTGTTGCTGAGCAGCACTTACACAGTCAAGACTTTTTCTGCTTCTCTCCCCACCCCACCAGCAAAAAGGCTGGTGTTGGAGTTGGGAGGGAACACACCCAGGACATCTGACCCCAACTAACCACAGGGATATCCCATAACATATGGTGTCATGCTCAGCATATAAAGCTGGAGGAAGCAGAAGGAAGACAGAGAGATTTAAAGTGATGATGTTTGTCTTCCCAAGGCACCGTTATGGGTCGTGGAGCCTGGCTTTCCTGGGGATGGCTGAACATCTGCCTGCCCATAGGAAGTGGTGCATGAATCCTCTGCTTTGCTTTGCTTGTGTGCATGGCTTTTGCTTTACCTATTAAACTGTCATTATCTCTACCCATGACTTGTCTCACTTTTACCCTGATGATTCTCTCCCTATCCCATTGTGGGACAGTGAGCAAGAGGCTGTGTAGGGCTGAGCTGCTGGTTGGGGTTAAACCATGATGGAGAGTAGAATGAGTTTCCCTGTCCTCAATTCTACCCTCATCTGTAGGGTAGAATAAGAGAACCCAGCATATGCTGATGGGTTTTATTCTGATGTCTTATTTTCAGGAGAATCTTTTTCATGTTAATGTTGTTTCTTGAATGCTGTCTTGGGTCTGGCTGAGATTGTGTTCATTTCCCCATAGTAGCCCACACAGTGCTGTGCTTTGCATTGGTAGCTAGAACGGTGCTGATACACCGGTGTTTTGGCTACTGCTGAGCACAACACCAACAGTGTAACATTCCTTCCTCAATCGAGGGCAAGATCCTGGGAGGGGACACAAGTAGGCGAGCTGACCCAAACTGACCAAAGGGATATTCCATACCACATGATGTCAGCTCAGATATAAAAGCTAAGGCAAGAAGCAGGAAGGCAGGCATTTGTTACCTCCAATGGCTGCCTGCTAAGGAACATGTCGAAGTCCTGCTTTTTGGAAGTGGCCGACCATCACTGCTGATGAGAAGTAGAGAATAAACCATGTTATCTTTCGCTTCGCTTTTGCACACACAAGCTTTTGCTTTGCTTTTGCTTTAATAAACTGCCTTATCCCAACTCACAGGTTGTTTCCATCTTACTCTCTCCCCTGTCCAGCTGGGAAAGGGAGTGATAGAGTGTCTGGGTAGGCACCTGGCATCCAGCCAAGGTCAACCCACCACAAATGCACTTAAAACTCGAGATAGAATAAGCACAACACATTTCACAATTACTCTCGTAATTGTCGGCCAGGCCAACATTGACTCAGTATTCACACAAACTACAGCTATTTCCAGCAGCATGAGAGACAACAGAGTATGAGCAGCAGTGCTGTCTCCACAATACGTGCTTTTTTTAAGGTTTGGACTCTGGTGCTATCTTTTAACTTTTTTCTTGCTTTCATTTTCATTTTCACCAGTTCCCATAACTGGTGAACTCTCAGCTTCATACAATTTTAAGAGATCAGACACAAATTCTAAAACAAAGATAAAAAATGTGTATTGACTCAACCTTCCTTTAAAAAAGGAGATTCATGAAGCATTACACTGTTATGAACTAAAGGGTTTAAAGTGGGGCATAAAACCACAGAGTATTGCCAACAAGGCAATACCAACAAAGGAGAAACCAGAAGGAATATTCTGCTATCATGCACTCTAGCCTAAGAAAGTCTTCTCTGGCTCCAAAAATGGAGTGTGGAACTACTGAAGCCAGGGAAACTGCAATAACCATAAAGCTAAACATGTACCCAACCCAGGTAACTGTGATCAACACTTTGAGAGAATTGATCTTGGTGCACTGGTGAAAGAACTGATCTTTTTATTGGCTTTTTACTCAGATAAAGTCACAATTCACAATGCCCATGGAAATAAATCTTTATAACAAAGAATCATACAATACCGACTTCACTCAATACAGGAAAAACAAGTATCTATTTGAAGCTATGCCAGTACATTAGTACCAAAGATTTCAATTATTTTTTTTAACTGAATTGAATAGTACTAAAAAGACATGTATGGAAGGTTCTAGTATCTCTAGTGCATGTTCTACAGTAAAATCCTTGACCAGCTAATGACTCAAGCAGGCTCCCTGTCAGAATGTCACTTGTACCTCCATTTCACTGGTTCAGGAGCATAGACTCCTCCTTCACCAAATTCATGACTGGATAAATGTGGTTTTTTGCAGTATGATCTCCAGATTGCTGAAGCCAGACTATTTGTAACACTATTTTGGTTATGCTTAAGGACCTTCTGGAAGTTAAGTATGTAAAAATGATTTAGGAAGAAGTCCTATATTATTTTTTTTAAAAGGAAGTGTTTTGTCATCTTTTTAAAGTCTTCTGAATGTTATGCTCCTGCTAGAGAAAGATAGCAACTTAGCAGTCATGTATTGCCTGCAGATGTTATTCTTAAGCCTCAGCTCATTACCAGTGACATTTTCTTTGAGGAAATTACCTTTCAAAAGGTTGTAAGATAGAGCTGTCAGCTATTGTCAGACAGAGGAAGTTGAACAAGTTAGCAAAGTATTCTCGGAATGCTTAAGGGAATAAAAAATTACATATTAAAATGTTCTTGACATTCACATTTTTTACTTTAGCTTATCTTGAAAATTATCCAGATAGTCATTGCAGCATACTCACCTCAGCTAGGTAAAATTCATCATATTGTCTCTTGAAATTTTCTCCTTTGTAGTAGTTACTAGCAGCAACAATCACATCGACAGCAACCATGCTTAGTATAAACATATGAAACACGGATGACCTCATCATTTTCTGCAAAAGAAAAAGTAACTTTTATCATCAAAATGAGTCAAACTACATGCATTTTAAAGTTCTTTTACATTGTCAAAACATAATCAGCTATAATAACAGCTATATCTTCTTTATATGATTGTAATTTATATCTCTTTAAAATACAGTTTAATATATTCCTTCAACTGGTTTACATGTGCAAGTTTTGGTTTTTTTTTTTTTACTTTTCAGTTTTTATTTGCCAACTGACTTCTTACTGAAGGTTTATAACTTAATATGATATCCATTACTTGAGTATGTTTTAAAGGATAAACTGTACTTCTATCTACTCAGTTGGCCCTGGTTAATAAAATCTTGTTCAGGAAAAAGTAACATCAATTCTATCTTGTGCATTGCTTTTCCTCAAGAAAGACGTGTAATATGGGATTCATCTGATGTCAAACTATTGCCTAAAGTAATGAAACATATAGTAGATATACACATCTGGGTCTATGAGCTATGAAGTACTCACAGATAATTCACGTATCTATGCACTCAATGCTTTATGTCACTGCTGCCACAACCCCAGAGGAGGAAAGAGAAATGGAGGCAAGAAGCACTGGTCAGGAGTGATAAGATACATAAAATGTATGTAGAAGTTCAAAGAAGTAACTTCTAAGCCCCCACCACAAAGATTGTGGACTTATGATTTACCCTGAAAACTAACCACAATCCTCATTGGGTCAGCCACAGCTGTTCAGGAAAATAAAATTCAAAATATAGAAGAACTCTGCCTCCTCTCAGCTTTTTCCTAAAGACACCGTATGCCTCTACTGGTTTACGTTCACATAATCACATAGTAAATTAGGTTGAAAGGGATGTCTTGAGATTATCTAGTCTGCTGCTGCTTGTTTAAGCAGAATCAGCTAGAGCAGGTATTCCAGAATTGTGTCCAGTCAGAGTTTGAGTATCTTGACAGAAGAAGGATCCATGACCTGTCTGTTCAACCTATTCTACTCTTTGGCCACCTTCACAGTGAAAGAGTTTTTTCTTCTGTTCAGATGTTCAAAATTAGACAAATGTCCCAGTGGAAGGCAAATAAGATCACAGAATCTCTGAGATTAGAATCTCAAAGGGCTTCTTGAGATGTTCTTGTCCAATCCCTCTGCTCAAAGCAGCATCACCTAGAGAATGTTGCTAAGGACCATATCCAGTCAGGTTTTGACTATCTTGAATGATGGAAACTCTAACACCTGCCTGGGCATGCTTGTCCTGCATTTTTACAGTGAAATTTTTTTTTCATGTTTAATTAGTATTTATTAGTGTTTCAGTTTGTGTCCATTGCTTCTTATCCTACCATTGGATACTGCTCAGAAAAGCCTAGCTCTGTGTTCTTTATTTCCTCACATCAAGTATTTTTTCATACTGTCAGGATCTACTCCTGAGTTCATTATCTCCAGGTTAAACAGTTACAGCTCTCTCAGTATTTCCTCATATGAAAGATGCTCCAGCCCCTTATCATCTTTGCAGCCCTCTATTAGACTCTCTAAAGAATTCATGCCTCTTGAATTCCACTGGAGTTTTAAGTAGCTTGCTTAAATTGAAGCTGAATGGAGATAAGTACAAATTTGCAAGCCTTTGGCTGATAGGCTTCCCTCGTTTCTTAATATTTGGACTTTTTGTGTGAATTACAGATCGCATTATAGACAGAAGACAGATCAAACACTTCTCATGCAAGCTGGCTTCCTTTTGACCCTAGTGACATGAAATGGTTGTACATTCCAGCCTAGAAAGGGAGGCTCAGGAGATAAAGCCTTACATTCAGAAATTGACAGAACAAGCCTGAGTTAATAACAATGTCTAAAGACAGGTAAGTCACAAAAATAGTGGCTAAATAAAGTCTTGTTTTTATGTTTAATCCACAAGACAAGCTATAAGAATACAATAAGTAAAGATAGGGCTACTGGCATCCAGCATGCATTTTTTTCAGCGGTGTGATTCAAAACAGGTAGCATCCTATCTGCTACATTTTCATTTCACATGAATTCTAACCAGATAGTCTCTCTGCATATTTTACACTGCATTTTTAAAAGTGTCAGAATTTTCTTCATAATAACAAAGTATTCTGTCTCAATTGTGAAAGGACTTGCTAAAAGAAACTAGTGAGTTAGGCTGCAAAATGCACTTATCTCTCCTTTCACAAAAAACAAGGAAGCAAAACGGTAATACAGGAAGAATAAAAATGATAAACTGTCTTGGTATACATGTACATACATGCACACTTTCTCATATAGACTGTACCTTTGGACACTGTTGTGATTTAGGAATGACACTTCCCAGTTCAGTGCTCTTATTGAGACTCTTCAAACCCTGCTGCTGCTCACTTGCTCCCCCCATCACCTTGTGCAGCTTGAGGTCATTTCTTCTCATCCTGTAACTTGTCACTTATGAGAAGAGACCAACCCCCACCTCAGTGCAACCTCTTTTCAGGTAGTTTTAGGGACCCTCCTTTTCTCCAGGCTAAACAGCCCCAACTCCCTCTGCCGCTCTTCAAAAGACTTCTGCTACAACCTCTTCACCAGCTTCCTTGCCTTTCTCTGGACTCATTGCAGCACCTTTTACTTTTCACTAAAATTCAATAAAGCTTCTTGTCCAAGTTGCCTTCTCAATTGAACTAAAAGGAGACTATTTGGCTAACAGAGAGTATTACTTTGGATAACATGATTCAACATTAAGGTAATACAGAAGGAGGCTCAGACAGGACACAAGTTAGGCACAGGCTATGCAAAGGCAGAAACAGCTGGCTGAGGCATCAAATGAGGATGCAGCTGTGATGAGGAACGTGAAAAGCACCTAGCTGCTGGCAGAAAGACAGAGAGCACAAAGGGTCAGCAAGGTGGAGGTATCCAAGCAAATACCTCCACCACACGCACAGCAAAAACACTATGCTGAGGAGATCCAAAAAAGAAATTCACTACTGTTAGATCCCAGGACTGTCCAGTTCATAGAGGCCAGACTGGTGTCTTAATGTTTTCTACAGCATGTCAGAATCTAGCTGCTCACTTGGCATGAATGCTGTGCATGATAAGCAGTTTTCCCGCTGGCCTCTCAGACAGACTGCAATATTCTTAGGAGATCAATCACAGTGCTCTAGCCCATACACTTACCATGCCCAGCTTTCCCCCTACTTTAATCTGTCTTAGTTTGCTCTTTCTACATCACAGAATGGTTTAGATGCATCTCTGCTGCAATGTTTGACCATGAGAATTCACCACCTCTTTACGTATTTTTGTATTTGGAATGAGGTCTAAGTGAAAGCTGAATTTAGCCCACAGCACTTGCCCAAGCCTTAAAAACTATTTTGGATCACCGCATCAGCAGTGTGTCATTTGGATTACAGCCCTTTTCAGAGCACACAGGGGTGGAAAATTCTCCACGCAAACTTGAAAGAAGAGACATAATGCCAATTTTTGTTCTTGTTTAATTTACTTTTTTCAGGCCTCGGATGTCTGTTTCTTAAACTGTGTAGGAATGAGATGAAAGAAATGTTCTGATGTTGCTGTCAGCCAGTTGTATGGTGGGAAAATTGTATCTAATATTAAATTGGATTTAAGATTACCTATGTTGAAGAAGTCTCAAGTGAAATGCCTTGTTACTGCCATCAAGCAATTACAACAGTGATGAAGTTCTTACATTTACTACGAATCACTTGTAATACTGGCAACTGACTTCATGCAGAATACTGATTCTCAGTGTCCACACTACTGTGAAGAATGTGGATGGCAGAATGCATTAAAGATGCAGTAGCCATAAAAATCAATACCCAAAAAAACTGTTAATGATCCAAATTCTTTCAGTGTTTGGAAATGTACAAAGAAGCCAAGGATTTGCTTTGTGCCCAGATGGGAATCTCACAACAACAGAAAAGATTTCTAAAATACTACTTATTTACTCAACACTAGGGATGTGCTTGGTGCAGCTGAGGGACTCTGGATGAAAAACTGTATTTATTACCCCAGATTCACCCAAAAACTCAAGTAAGCAATGACACTGCGATTGCTGACAGGCGAAAACTACCTGGCTCACTTAGTCTTACAGAGCATTACCACGTATGGCCTAAAGCAGTCTTTAGACATGCCACGAGTATCAGAATGGGGTACATTACTTCAATACTCCTCCCATATTCCTGGATGGCAGAGGCAGGATGAGTGACATAAATTGTCTTTGCCAGTTCACTGCCCTGGAGAAAATCCACAGCAGCTGCCACCTTGCACAGCCAGAGCCACACAGATGCTGGTTCAGGAAAGCAATGGTCCATGCAAAATGCAGTCACTAAGCAAACTAGAATAACTGAATAAGAAACTACCTTTTCCTAATGCTAAACTGCTTTTGGGGGCTTGATATGTACATCAGGTCACTCCTTGTATCACCATCCTTTATACAGGATTTTTCTTTCAAGTCCGTAATAGATCATGTTTAGTAAGCAAGATAGTAAGTATTGCAAACTTCTAGAGTCTGACAAACTTAATAATGAAAGAACCCATGGGCCATGATACCCTCATATTACTAGCTCAAAACTGATCCAGCTGGTAATGTTCAATATTATCACGTGCAACCTTGAAAGAGGTGTCTTCAAAGGGCTCATTGTTTCATTTCAGACCCACAGAAATTCAGACTGCATTTGACAAAACTAACACTCTTGGTGGCAATCTAAGAAAACAAAAAAGAGGAAAAATTGGCTTGATAAAAAATTACCTACAAAGCCCTCAAGCTTATTAGTACTGAGTAAGACATGGTGAAGATCTGATATGCAGGAAAGCTTTGCTTATTTTGGCCATTTAGTGTGTGAAAAGCTTAGAGTGCATAATTGTCAAACTGGCAGGGTAGATCTTGAAAGTACCAAATCAATTAAGGAACAATGTAAACATCATTTAACTAAAAGACTTTGATAATCACTATATGGGTAAGCAGCTTTTTTGCAGATTTTGATACTCTTGAATTACACATTCATCAACAGGAAATATATAGTTGTATCTGTATTT